GGAAATCGTGGAAATTGAAAAACAAACGAAAACGCGACTTTCTTCCTTGAATTTTCCATCGATAACGCGAATGTTCTTAACTTTATAATACAGATTTAAATTTTCATTACCAGATTTATCATCTTCATTGTTTATACGATTAGTGTTTCTTTTTTTTTATTACTAGATTTTTTATTATTACGGGAAATTTAAATATTTGTTGCACTCGTATAGGAGTAACAAATACTTGTTACTATTATTTTTATATTAATATTAACTTTTCTCCTTATTTCTTTTATTTGTATTCCTTATTTATTTCTTTGTAGTTTGCAATATCTGTAAATGTTGACATCGTTTTGCAAATAGTTGAACAAATATTACATCAACTCATTGTTAACAAAAGACGCGATTCAACGTCTTTTGATTTTTAAGTGTCGATAAGAGAGATTAATTCATGACGTATTGAATAAATAACACTTCATACAGTACTATATAGAAAATAAAAATTAAATTTGATTTAAGAAATGAAATGAATATTAATGCTAATTGATACAACTACAAGTGTGTTTACAACTCTAGATACTGTAGTAATTGTTAACTGAACGAATATACGTAAGTCATCGATACAGTGGATATTGTATAAAATTTGAAATATATAACACTGTATATAATAATATTGTACTGAACCAATTCGCAAAAAAGAAGAAAGGAAAAAATGTGGTAATTAAAGTTCTGGTTAAAAAACAAGTGCAAGTGCAATTTACAACTGCATCGATGCATTCCTGAAAATAATCACATTACACTATGATAAATTGTATTAAACTGTGCAAAATTTTTCTCTGCCATTTTTTTTCTTTCTTTGGTAGACACAGAGTTATAGTCCGATACAGCTACTACATTTTATACCCATGAGTAGTGTATTCTAGGCACCAGCATTGGTACTAAAGTATTGACGTAGATACAATTCTAGGTACTGAAGGAAATTGATGTTAGACACCTCTATTACTGTTCTGATAATAACCAGGTATTTACAGATGTCATCAAACACTTGGAATATCTAGTGGTTCATGTAAGACAATACATGTTCTATCAATTTCATTTGAATCACATTCTGACATATGCAGGAAAGTACATTCTCTTTTCAATTAACGAAAACAGTTTTCAGTTTTGCTATGGTTTCGTGCTGGATATGTCTTGTACTGGAAGATATACCGAAGAATATTTTGAAAAGCTAGTCCTCGGATAATCAAATTCCCGTCAAAGGAAATTCAGAAATAATTAATTCGTAATTAATTACAACGTTGTAAGACATTTTCGCAAAATGCAATATTGCTCAAAGCACGATTTATTGCAAAATCTATTATCGCGAAAATTTGATTGGGGCAGGTAAAGTGTTCCTCTTCACGATGGATAAATTTAAGATCACGCAAATGTTTGTTACATAAAGTGGAGTAACGAGGAAACATTTATCAATGGTCGAGATCCTCAATGAAGATCCTGGTGACATAAAATAGCTATATAATAGAGAAACATCGGTAAATATCGAAGCAACGTTGTTTGGGGGCTATAAAGAAGAATTTAACGATTAAAATAGTAATATCTTGTGTATAGTGGAGTATGCATGGAATTCTGAATTATCCAAATCAAATACAACTAGTTTCACAATAGCTTGGAATGTACAACAAGAGTGAAAAGACCATCCTTATGAATGGAAAGACTGTCTCGTATATTTCCAGAACAATAGCACGTTCATACGTGAAAATAGCAATGTAAAAAAGTAATTAAAACTGCAATGGGTAGTTGCTCCACATTCACCTCTTTTGTTGTCTTTTATTTTCACCTCTCTCGATTATCGTAAAACACTTCGGATGGAAAAACTTCGAACATTATGGGGTAGCGAAAAGTGCAATATATTTCCTTCATAATGATAAATCCGAGTATCTTTGTAACTGAAACATGACACGATTTGTCGAAATTGCTATAAATAAATGAAAATATATAGCATGAAGTAATATACGAAATAATTGCTAAACGGACATATGTATATGAAATATGAAATAACGTGTAATACACGTATATAGCATAAAGTAAGTATAAGTTGCCGTTAAAAGTCGAATTTATAAAAGACGTATTCTAACGATGAATATAATTATACAACAATGAAAAATCTAATTATTTTATTTTTATATATACTTTAAATTAAAATTATAGTATACCATAGTATATTAAAAATTTGTTATTATATAATTACAAGTACTTATATGTATAATATAATATAGTAAAAATTTATAATTTAAAAATTATAAAATGCAAACTTGTGCAATTTGCCAATAAAAAGATATGTGTAACTAATTTGAAAAATATAAAATGTACATTACGGTTTACTCCTTATTATAGTTGTATTATTTTTTGTAAAATATCGAATAAGTAAAATAAAATATTGAAATTCTGTTATGTGAAACGAACAACTACTGTATTTAATTTTAATTCGATTGTTACCTCTAATCGCAATATTATAATTATAGTTATATATTGTATTTTAATCGATTTTCTAGTATCGTGGTGCTTCGTTAGATGCTAATAGAAGAATACAAAGAATTATTACGATATCAATGTTGGACTGGATACAAGGAAAAAGATAAATTGGCTCGCAGTATCATTCGATCATACTCTCCTTGACTTTTACTAACGAGATCTTATTAAAGTTAGTGTGCACCTAGAAGATGCGGGAAAATCTTCAAAGTTTAAGCTCTGGAAATATAATAGCAGTTTCTAAGATAACAAAGTAATTAATCGTAAATTATTTATTAGTAATAATTTATGCCAATTAGCTAGAAATTTCTTATAAGTTGCGAGGTTGTTAACGTTTAGGTATAAAAATTTATTACTATTTTAATATAACTTATTTATACGTTTGCGATACTTTTATAAAATAAAACAAAATTACGGTTAATATTGCTTTTTGATAAAAGTTTGAAATGAAAACAGGAACAATAATTTAAATTAAATATTAAAATTAAATTTTAATTAAAATGAAATTTTAAATAAGGGAATTTCAGAACGAAAGTTTAAAAATACACTTCGAAAAGTATAGGGGAAACCACGTATTTGCACATGTAAATAATTTCTTCGGGGTAAGTATCTATACTACGCTAAGAGCGCACTGAAAGGATACTAAGGGTGCAATGGTAGGCTGTTAGTTAGGCCACTGATTACATATTGACAATTTCAGCACTGGCCAATCAACATGTATACAATACAAAGGAGTATAGTCTAACAAGTTAGGTACTAATCGACCAATCAGTGGTTGGCCAATAGAAATATTGGATAGTCCTTTGAGGCCTTTTGATAGGCACTGTCGTGTCGTGACCCTAAAGACTGTGATGAAAATAACGATAATCAGGGTGCGTCGACGATCTTAACAGTATATAACATCAGTTGTTTCATTAGTATTAGTACGATATTCATATCGCGATACGAATTCGGTATCTGCGCTGATACGATATCTCTCACCGATACTCGCATCTAAAATTAACTCAAAGCAAATTCGTATTTGCCTTTCCTATCTGGTGTAAAAATTCGGTGTAGAACATGCAACAACGTCGATTGAAATTTTTAGCGTATCGAATAGATACTTCGCATGCAAATATGAGAAGCTATATTTTTACTGATATCGAGATTTTAACTTGATATTATGCGGAGATGAATTTTTATGGACGAAAAGGAATATCTCGTTAACTATTGAATTTAAAAACTGTAATTATCGATACTCGTTTATATAGAATTATGTATTCTTTTTGACTTTGTTGTAAAACGTGCAACATTTCGTTTATACAATTCATTTACAATATACTTTCACCGTATGTGTTTGAAGAGACACACATTTGTTAGATTTAAAAAGTTGCTACATTTTTTTTTATTTGTGTATTTAACCCTTTCGCTACTACGAGTGACTATAGTTACCGACCATTTAAAAAGTTTCTACATTTTTTTTTATTTGTGTATTTAACCCTTTCGCTACTACGAGTGACTATAGTTACCGACCACGAGACGCCATTTACACATGACAAATGACTATAGTCACCGACCACAAAAATTGAGTAAAAAATTAGAACAAGTGCTACCGTTCCTCTTAGCTCTCTTCGCAATGAATTGCAAGCTCTATTGCGATGGTCAGTTTTTTCTTTTCTTTTTTTCTTCAAAAGATTTGCGTCAAAAGACCGAATGCTAAAGACTGTATGATCGTAATGTTACTATCTTTGACACCGCGCTGCGTTCTACGGAAGAGACTTCACGGCGACGCTCGCCATAGCAAAAGAGTTAAATGTACATGAACATATTCATTAGCAAAAGTGATTAAATCCACTTCTTGAATTCTTTTATATTTTTGTGTCAAAGTACACGATTCGTGGTTAATTTCTTAATTTCTTATACTACAAATAAATTTTTATTTCCTTTTTTGTGGAATTCATCGATTTGGTAAATGAGGGGTTTATACATATAATATGAAGTACCATTTATCGTTTCGGTTCATGGAAATTTTATAAAAAGATGTGGAAAATTGACAGAAATATTGACCGATATTAGTAAGAGCAGATAAGCAATTGACAATGATTTAAATCTTGAGACTTTCCTTACAATTAGCATAATAAAACGAAATTTTTAAATTTTAATCGATAAATTTATATTACAAGTTGATTAACTTAACCCTTTGCACTCGGCGATTCTTTCGTTTCAGGACAATAGTAATTCGAAGACTTTCTGCTACAAAATCGACGATATTTTTAAAACGGTAAATAAGAAATCATATGCAAATTAAGACGTAAAATTATTTTACTTTGATATTCCATGCATCGTTGGGTAATTGATTAGAAATATTGCAAATTAAGAAATTAATCAATTTATTTGTGGAATAAAAGTAAACTT